TAGCGGCACAGCAGCCATGGGTCAAAGTGTTAGACTGTGTCTTAAGGCCCATTGTGCACTCCTTGTCCTAAATCATAATTAGCTTGTCCCCATTGTGGTTTGCAAATAGCAATTTAAGCATCTCTTCTGAAGGGGTAGTATTTGATATGTAACGGGGGAACAAATTCTCAGTTGTTGACTGACAGTTATTTATTTATTTATTAGACTTCTATACCGCTTAATAGGGCTTTCAGCCCTCTCTAAGCGGTTTACAATTTTTTTAGCAAATTGAGTCAGCATANTGTACCTAGGTACACCCACAATCACTCGCGCGGCTGCGTTCTGGACTAACTGAAGTCTTCGAACACTCTTCAAGGTTCATTGTACATTTTGATGCTTTTTAGTCTAATACAGGGATGTCCAATCTTGACAACCAGAAGACCTGTGGACTTCAAACTCCCAGCATGCTCTAGCACATGCTGAGCGCGGAATTCTGGGAGTTGAAGTCCACCAGTTTTAAAACTGCCAACGCTGGACACCTTCGGTCTAATAGGATACTTTCTCTCTATCTCTGGAATTTCCCAATCATTGAAACTTTTGTCTTGGGTATTCCACTGGGACAAGAAACACAAGTCATGAACTTTTGGAGCTCATCAAATGCTATCAAGGGTGCACAGCATTTTGTAATAATTAACTATAGCAGACAAGGTCCTAGTGTGGTAGGAAGGTGCAAAAATGGGCATGGCAGGCATTGAGAATTATAATAATATTAAGCTTTTGAGTTGAGTGATATTAGAGCATGGTGCTAAAGGGTTAGCTAGGAATGAAATTTGGGTGGCTGAATTTGAGTCATTGATTGTCTCTCAGACTAATCTGTGTTCAGGGCTGTTGCAGTGTTCCAAATTAATGGATTTTGAAGCCCTCAGAGAAAAAAGCAGGGTAGAAATGCAATGAATAAATAATTCATATCAAAGGACAGGACCAGCAGAAGAGCTGAGCTAGTAAAACTCACGTGAAGTATTAGTAAAAAGGTAAAGATAAAAGTTCCCCTTGCACATATGTGCTATTCGTTCCCAACTCTAGGGGGTGGTGCTCATCTCTATTTCAAAGCCGAAGAGCCAGCCTTGCCCGAAGATGTCTCTGTAGTCATGTGGCTGGCATGACTAAATGCCAAAGGTGCACAGAACGCTGTTACCTTCCCACCAAAGGTGGTTTCTATTTTTCTACTCGCATTTTTACGCGCTTTTGAACTGCTAGGTTGGCAGAAGCTGGGACAAGTAACGGGAGCTCACTCCGTTACGCGGCGCTAGGGATTCGAACCACTGAACTGTCAACCGTTTTGATCGAAAAGCTCAGCGTCTTAGCCACTGAGCCATCGCATCCCTTGAAGTATTAGTACTGCTCCAGAGGTGGGTTCCTATCAGTTCGCACCTATTCGGTAGAACCGGTTCATCAAATCTACCG